GTCTCTCAATTTGTTCATTTCTAATTTTAATGAAGTAACTTTAGCTGCAGTGGATTTTTCATCTGCTGGAAAGGTGTTGGAGGCTCCTCCCTCCTGGGTCTGCCAGTGTTGGGGGGCGTGGCCATTTGAGTTATCTGAAGCAGGATGGGACAGGTGTGGGGCAGCAGGTTTTCTCCTTCAGGGTCTGCTATGATTGTATGTTCACCAGCTCCTACTCCATCACTTCCTCTTCCATATGCTCACTCTGGTCACGGAACTGCTCTGCATCCTGGAGAAACACGAACAGGATGTCAAAAAATGGGAACAATCGATCAAACATCTCCCCCAAAGGTTGAATCTAGGATTGTATGGTTTAGGTTTATCTCAGCAGACATCAACTGGGCTGCTGTGCATGAATTCCTGGATCAGTGAGGGTCAGGGGTCAATCCTAACTCCACTGTGCCCTGCTGTCATACGTCGTGTGGACTACTTGTCAGTCATGATAATCAATGAGAGCAGTTCCACATCCAATTTCAATCAGTTTATTTCTATAGCGCCAATTCACAACACGTCATCTCAAGGTTCACCAGATCATCCAGTCAGACTTATTTAAAGTTTTCTATCTAAGTTAAACCAGTTGATTCCACCGCTACTCCTTCGCACGTCACCGTCCACATACGTCTTCTCCGTCTGTCGCCGTAAAAACACAGAGCCGAGCTATTTTTTGCTCCGCTCTGGTCCGACCAGGTCAATTCCAATCACACCAAGGAAAAAGAACGTTGAGAAAATCCGGTTTGTCAAATTTAAATATAATAACATATCGGTTACTACAAATTAGTGCATAATTCTTATATATTCCCAAAAACTAAGACTGTTTAATTAAATGATTGGATGTAAGATATATAGGAAATTTATTTTTTCTGATGTGAATTACATCTCCATCCAGTTGATGGCGGTAAGACACAGTCTGTAAACTGCCATAAAACACCATAGAAGAAGAAGAAGAAGCAATAATGGAAATGAAACAAGATAAATCTTATATTGTAGATAATTATTCAGTACAGTTACATTTAAACAATTATTATCAATATATTCAAATTTATACAGATGCATCAAAAATAAATAGGAAAATAGGAATAGCTTTTGTAGTAACAGAATTCAATATAAGAATAGGAAAATGAATTAAGGATGGATTATCAGTATACACAGGAGAAATGTTGGCAATATTATTAGCTTTACAATGAGTAGAAGATATAAAACCGTTAAAATCAGTCATTTGTTCAGATTCAAGCTCTGCATTAGTAAGTTTAAAAAATAACCAAACAGATAGTAGGATGGACATTTTATTA